TTCAGCAGTTATTCAGCAGGGTTCAGCAGTTTTTCAGCAGGGTTCAGCAGTTTTTCAGCAGTTATTCTGCAGGGTTCATCAGTTTTTCAGCAGTTATTCAGCAGGGTTCAGTAGTTTTTCAGCAGTGTTCAGTCGTTCAGCGTTCTCTTTTTTAAGTATTAAACAGTTGTTAATGCTCGTCACTCATTGGTCGGCTCGCCTTCCTCAGCGGTCCGTTACATCGAGACTGACCCGGCCAACAGAGACCCGAGGACGCCCATCGTAAAGATCAAGCAGGGCTTCGAGCCGCCCACCTTCACCGGCTGGTTCCTGGGTTGGGACCACGACTACTGGACCAGCGACCCCCTGGAGCGAGCCATGGCAGAACTGGCCATCTGAATGCCCCGCCCCTTTCCTCCTCGACCTTTCTGCTGTTCTGCTAGCACTGTGCTACAAATACCAAGACTTTATGTTTTAGCTGCCAAAACCGTTAAAATCCAGTTTTTACGCCACGCGCTCCTTTAGTGCCTTCATGTTTTCAAACTGAACAGGGCTTTCAGATAAATACAGTTTGTTGTTTTGCACTAATTACTATTCAAATAATTTTTTTATTTTATATTTTAACAGTAAAAGCATTTGACTTATAAAACCTAAAAACCAACAGTTCTTTAGTTTACTTTGATGATTCTTTGATAAAAAGGTACAGATCCTGGTAAAAGTTGTTTTTGGGTTTGTTTTGTACCTTTTAGTATATTTATTTTTTAGCGAACCACGACCAGAAAACCTTTTAGCTTTAGAGGAAACTGAACACTTTGCTGCTTCACAAACCATCTTCTCTGATGTTTGTTTTTATTTGAATTAAACCAAATTAAAACATCTTTCTCTTCTTTTACTCAGTCTTTTTCCTGACATGAAAGAAATAAAAAAGGCAGAAACTTGTGGATAACATTTTTATTTCAAGTCAACAAATCTAATAAATGTATTAAAGATCAAATTATATCAAAGTTAAACAGATAAAACAAGCATCAACTCTGAACACAGGTTTTTGAGAATACAACAAGGCAGAAGTTGATTTMATTTTCAGCCTTTTTCTTTAAACAGTAAAAATGTAGTGAAGCTAAATAAAAACCWCAGAAATCCAGCAACATCATGGCAGAACCACCAGAACCGAGCCTTAGTGGACCGGCTTCCTTTTCTGAAGCAGAAAATAAAATCTCACTTTGGCAGAAAAAAAAAAAACTTGACAGCTTTTACTTTTTATAACAAAAAGTATAAAAGTTATAACGAAGTTGAAACTATTAAAACACAAATATCCACTAATACTATATAAACTAATCAGCCATAAGATTAGGACCACCAGCAGAGTTGTCTCAGACCACTTCCTGTTTGAGGTGATGGATGAGGATTGTACACAAACATGTTCTTTAATTACAATTATACCAAACTCTGACTCAAGTATTTGTTTTACATCAAACCTAAAATGATGTATTTGTTTACTTGCGACCATCTCTATATATCTAGCATTGTTTGGCAGCAAAACAAATAATTATATAATTATAATTAAACGCATGCAGTAAAGGGTTACAGAAGGAGTCAAACTCAAGGCCTGTGGGCAGAATATGGTCCCTTAYTGCATCTTTTGTGGCCTATGAGAGCTTCAAAGATGTATTAATGTCTTWAAGCTGCTTTAAAACCATAAAGAACCATAAACTACATCTCGGTGGAGCTGCACAGGCTTCAAAACCAGTTGATAAATTTGCTGTGTGAAATCTCCAAWCTACTGGGAAGTGGGRATTTCCCTCTTACAGGTTGTGAATTTAAACCTGGACAGTCCAGAATGCAAGATGGATGCAACTGAACAGTGAGTAAAACTTATTTTAATTTTTAATAGTCTGCATCATTTATTTCACAATGAGTTAGTTGTACTCGTAGTACTTTTCGGTATTTATAAAAGGACGCATTAAAACGCTGTTTCAATACAGGAAATACCAGGTAGAGCTCCGTTACCGGCTCAGGAAAGATGCTCATGTGGCCTCAGTGAAAATGAGTTATGGGTCAGAGTAGAGTTAGGTGGGTCAGGAGGTCATAATGTTTTGGCTGCTCAGCGTGTGAACCACTACATGGCGACACATTTACTAAACTGTGACGTACATTTAGCACTACTCAGGCAAACGAGCATACAGGTCTTATATTTACGATATTTGGCTTGTTGAAAAGTGATAAAAATCTCGTTAGAAAAACGTGAAGTTTCTTCAGAGGATGAGAGGGAACGAGACGTTAGTACAGATGGAGAGATGGCAGTGAGTGAGTTAAGGCTTTTGGCTGAACATGTTTGCATTTTTTTTTTACAGAAATGGAAATGAAACGATAAGAGAGGCACGGCTGAGCCTACAGAGGTCAGCTCTATGGCTTTCAAGTCTAAAAGTGTTTTAATGTAGTTTATATTTGATAGAAAGACTTCAGTTAAAACGTACAGCTTATATCCAGTCCAGAAATAACACAGAATAAGTAAAAAATACTTTAGCTTATTTACTGAAACTACTAACTTAAAAAAAGTTTTCCCTTTCTTCACTTTGTAAGTGTTTTAAATCTAATACTGTAGTTTTCTTTTCACAGTGTTTATCTGACAAGTTATTTATTTAAACAGCAGTAAGTTTGAAGTGTTAAAACAAATAAAAACAAAGGCTACCCAGGCTTTCAATGTTTTTAAAATGTACAAAGTATAATGTACCGGGTACAATGAAGTGCAATTTATCCTGTACGATGTATACATTACAACATATAGTACAATGTATACATTGTACAGTATATATAATATGGTATATACTGTATGATGATCTTGTTTTTACTTCACCTTATGAGTTTCTGCTTCAATATGTAAATAAAGTGGGCGGGGCTTCTTGGGTCAGCTCCTCTCCTATTGGTCAACAGACAGGAAGGAGCAGGATCCACATGTAGATCTACAGTGTATAATTGTGCTGCCTCAGTTTAATGTAAAGTTTAAAGTTTAGTTTAAAACAAAGGCAGAGGTAAATGTTTTCCTTMTTGYCTTGTGTGTTCTGAATGTTGTATATGCTTTATGAATTTTATTTCCATGTATTCTGTTGTATCAAATTACCCTTTATGGGTAAGAGTTAATACAGTGGTTCTCCTTCACTGTTTGTGTGTAAATATTTCTGATTTCTCTACTGTCATCTTACTTTATGATTCATATTTAGTTGTTAAACAGACAACTCAAACTCCAATGGTATATACTGTATGATGTATACGGAACTATGTAAAAAGTACAATGTAGTGTGTCATATGCTGCACGATGTACACAGTACATTATACAGTACAATGCATACTGTACAAAGTATAAAGTACTATGTATACAATACAATTTTAGTATGTAGTGCGATGTATATTACGAGGTACACAGTATAATGTACACAGTACGGTTTAATTTGGGATTTTAAATTAAAATGACTTTAAAATGTTGGTTTCAGTTTAGTTTTAGTGGCTGAATGTAAAGTTATAAAGTAATTCCAGTACTGTCCTGCTGGCAGTGATCGTGTGTGTGTGTGTGTCTGTGTGTGTGTGTGTGTGTGTGTGTGTGTGTGTGTGTGTGTGTGTGTG